GAAAACAGAATATCAAGACTGGAAGATAAAGTGGATGAATTAGACCACTCAAGCAAAGATCAAGAGAAATTTAAGATAATACAAGAATGGAATATGCAGGAATTGTGTGACACCATAAAAAGACCAAACTTATGAATCATAGGCATACAGGAAGGAGAAGAATCCCAAGAAAATGGCATGGACCAGATCTTCAACAGAATCGTGGAAGAAATTTTCCCAAAATCAAAGACATGCCCATACAAATACAAGAAGCATATAGAACACCAAACAGACAGGACCAGAAATGAAATTCTCCACAGCACATCATAGTAAAAATGCTAAACGTACAGAACAAAGAGACAATTCTGAAAGCTACAAAAAAGAAACAAGTCACATATAAAGGAAAACCCATTAGGATTACAGCTGACTTTTCGGTGCAAACTATAAAAGCCAGAAGAGCCTGGACCAAAGTATTCCCAGTGTTAAATGACCACAGATGCCAACCCAGATTACTATATCCAGCCAAAATGTCTATTATAGTTGAAGGGGAAAGAAAAATCTTCCACGACATAAATAGGCTGAAGGAATTCATGTCCACAAAACCAGTCCTTCAGAGAGTTCTGGAAGCAATACAAAGAGCTGAAGAAAAGAATGACTATACCCAAGGGGTTGCGGAAAGAATTCCAATGAAGGGATAACTGTGGAAAAGTACAGCTATATCAAAAATGTAAACAGAAATAAAAATGACAAGGAAAAGATATATTTTGTTTCTTAATCCATTCAACTAGCCTGTGTCTTTTGACTGGGGAGTTCATTCCGTTGATATTTAAAGTTACTATTGAAAGACGTGTATTCGTTGGCATCATTTCCATTACTATTTGCATTCTTTGTCTAATACTGTTTCCACATTTATACCTAGTTTATACTTAGTTACCACATTTATACTTAGTTTCTTTCATTGTTCTTGGAGCATAGTTGTTCCTTTCTCAGTTCTTTGTTTTGTTTCAAATATTCTTTGAAGGGCTGGATTTGTGGACATGTATTCTTTCAGGCTATTCATGCCAATGAAGATTTTT